TGCGTTGGTGAGGCCACACCTTGAGTATTGTGTTCAGCTCTGGGCCCCTCAGTTCAGGAAGGATATTGAGGTGCTGGAGCGGGTCCAGAGAAGAGCAACGAGGCTGGTGAAGGGACTTGAGCACAAGCCCTATGAGGAGAGGCTGAGGGAGCTGGGGTTGTTTAGTCTGGAGAAGAGAAGGCTTAGAGGCGACCTCCTCACTCTCTTCAACTACCTGAAGGGAGGTTATAGCCAGGTGGGGGTTGGTCTCTTCTCCCAGGCAACCGACAACAGGACAAGGGGACATGGGCTCAAGCTCTGTCAGGGGAGGTTTAGGTTAAATGTTAGGAAGAAATTCTTTACGGAGAGGGTAATCAGGCATTGGAACGGCCTACCCAGAGAGGTGGTAGATTCACCATCCCTGGAGGTTTTTAAGCAGAGATTGGATGTGGCCCTTAGTGCCATGATATAGTAATAGGAGTTGGACCAGGGATTGGACTTGATGATCTTGGAGGTCTTTTCCAACCCAATCTATTCTATGATTCTATGATCTTGAGCCACTGGTGAAAGAACAAGTACATATGAACAAAGCATGCCAGCTGATTAACATCTGGTACAATTTGGAGCAAAAGGCAGGAGAGAGTCCTGGACAATAATTATCAAGCTTTGCATGGCTGTGACCTGAAAAAAGTCATCAAATCACCTGAAGACAAGCTCAAGTTGGTCATATTTCAAAAAATTGTCTACATATTCCTAATGTATTTTTGAAGAGGTTGCCCTGCAATTTATGAAATTATTACACCTTATCAATCAGACAGAATTTGTGGAGAGTTGTAATGACAAAATTAGCATTATAAGGGTGTACTTCTTTTAAAGTATCATCATCTCTTCCTGATGTGCAAGATGACGGGCAAAATATTCTAAAACATATATTAAACAGCAGCATGTCTTGTGCTGTTCATAAAGAAATAACAATAGTAATCTCCTGAAGGTAAAAGCCACACTATATTTAGGTACAACTAATTGTAAGCATTATCAGTCAACTTGTATTGAGAGGGAAAACAGAGCTCTTTCTTGTGATAAGCAACCTTTATCATCCTTACTGTACAGCTTCATTTTTTGGGATGTCTGTAAAAAAGCAGTATATTTGCCTTTTTCAGCACAACGTGGTCAAGACAAACCTCTCTGAGTTCACTGAAAGTGATAAAGGATAAGAAAGACCAGTAGCACATGCCAGAGTTGTTAAGACTTGCACCAACCTTTGGTGCAATTCACTGCAAATGTGCATGTGCAGTTTGCAGACCATGGAAGTGAAAGACTCAATTGCTACTAGGTACTGTACAAATGCATAGTAGGAGACAAGCCTTACTGCAAAGAAAAAACAGGTGAAGTACAGAGAGGGACTTAGAAGACAGACAAGAAAATGAAAGGTTACAGAGCTGATCAATGGCACAACCCCAAGTCAAGCTAAGAAGTAACCCTGGCTCTTATCTCACTCTGTTCTCTGAAAGCACAAACAATACTTATCTGGGTTACACCCTGGTTCTTGTTTCCTCAATGGTGTTGAGGAATCTGGCCACATAAAGACATTTCATTTCTACCTGCTGTCACCCTAGCTCTTTCAGCACTTTCCTTCTCAAATGCAGGCTTTTTGAAGGTTTTTCACACAGCCAGTGAATACCTTTACAGTTTTAAACCTTAGATTTAAAATACCTAAAAATAGCTATTTTAAAGTCTGAGACAGCCAAGTCTGTCTCAGAAATCAACTCAGGCTATTTCAAAACAAAGTAAAGCTATTTGGGATGTTTACAGGCTTGAAATAAAGTGACTTAATGTAAAGTCATTCCTAGTTCAGAAACTACTGATCATCTACCCCTCTTTACAACTATCGTAATTCAGGTATATCCAAGCTATCTTATCGCACATGGAGAAGCTCTGAAAGGAAGCTTCTCCATTCCAGAAAGACATTTACTTTTCTTGGTAGAATCTGACTCATTTTCTGCAAATATCTAAACATTCTAGCTCTTTCCATCTGAAATATGTTTGGTCCTCTTAAGAAGTCTCAGAGGTCTTAAACTATGTACCCCAAAATCTGGAAAATTCTAAACAACAT